TTTATGCGATGTATCACATTTCTTGATTTGTGGATACTGTACCATCCTAGCATCCCTGGAATAAATCCCACTTGGTCATGGTGTATGATCTTTCTAATGTAATGCTTGATCTGATTTGCTAGAATTTGGTTGAGGATTTTAGCATCTTTGTTCAAGGATATTGGCCTGTAGTTCTCTTTTTTGGTGGTGTCTTTATCTGGTTTTGGAATTAGGGTAATGCTGGCTTCATAGAAAGAGCTTGGAAGTGTGCCTTCCTCTTGAATTTTTTGGAATAGTTTGAGGAGGATAGGTTTTAGTTCTTCTTTGAATGCTTGGTAGAACTCCCCTGTAAAGCCGTGTGGACCAGGGCTTTTGTTTACAGGAAGATTTCTGATCAGTGCTTCAATTTCTTCAGTGCTTATCAGCCTATTCAGGTTTTTTTATTCTTCCTGATTGAGTTTTGGGAGCTTGTATTTTTCCTAAAATATGTCCATTTCATCTAGGTTGTCCATTTTGTTGGATTAGAGTTGTTTATTATATATTTTTTCATAAACCTTTGTATCTCTGTGGGATCAGTTGTTACTTCACCTCTTTCATTTTTGATTTTGTTTACTTGGGACCTCTCTCTTTGCTTCTTGGTGAGCCTGGCTACAGGTTCCTTAATCTTGTTTATCCTTTCAAAGAACCAGCTCTAGGTTTGTTTATCTTTTGTATTGTTTTTTGGTCTATATGTCATTTATTTCTACTCTGATCTTCATTATTTCCTTCCTTCTGCTTATGCTGGGCTTTTCTTGTTGCTCTCTTTCTAACTCTTTCAGGATTAGCTAATTTATTACAATTTTTTCTTGTTTTTTGATGTAGGCCTGTAGAGCTATGAACTTCCCTCTCAAGAATTGAATGCTTTCACTGTGTCCAAAGATTTTGGATTGTTGTGTTTTCATTGTCGTTTGCTGCCATGATGCTTTTTATTTCTTCTTTGATCTCTTTGGTAACCCAATCATTGTTTAATAGCATGCTATTTATCCTCCAGGTGTTTGATGTTTTTCATTGTTTTTATTGTAGTTTATTTCTAATTTTATGACATTACAATCTGAGAAGATGCTTGATATGATTTCTATCTTCTTGAATTTGAAGAGACTTTGCCTGTGCCCCAATACATGGTCTATCTTTGAAAATGACCTGTGCGCACATGAGAAAAATGTATATTCTATGGCTTTGGGATGAAATGATCTGAACATGACAATTAATTCCATCTGATCTAGGGAGTCACTTAGGATTGATGTTTCTTTGCTGATTTTCTGTTTAGTGGATTTATCCAGTGGTGTTAGTGGGGTATTAAAGTCCGCTACTATGACTGTATTGCTGTCATTCTGTTCCTTGATATCTTCCAGAAGTTTTTTTTATGTATTTGGATGCTGCTGTATTGGGTGCATATAACCAGAGTTATATCTTCTTGTTGAATTGCTCCCTTTAGTATTGTGAAGTGGCCTTCCTTATCTCTTGTTACGGCCTTCACTTTGAGGTCTAATTTGTCTGATATAAGTATTGATACCCCAGGTTTGTGGTTTTTTTTTTTGTTTTTTTTTACTTCCATTCACCTGAAAAGTCTTTTTCCATCTCTTCACCATCAGTCTGTGTGAGTCCATTGTTCTGAGGTGGGTCTCCTGTAGACACCAGATAATATGGGTCATGTTTACTTACCCATTCAGCTACCCTATGTCTTTTGATTGGGGCATTTAATCCATTTACATTTAAAGTTATTATTGATAGGTACTCTTTGTCACCATGTTATTCTTCATGCCTGTGTTCCTTCTTCCCTTACAATTTCTTCTTTTGACAGCAGACCCTTTAGCATTGCTTGCATGGCTGGTTTGGTGGTAATAAACTCCCTTAGTCCTTTTTTGTCTGTGAAGCTCCTGATTTCACCCTCAATTTTGATTGATAGCCTTGCTGGTTACATTATCCTTGGATTCAGACCCTTGCTTTGCATGACTTTGTATATTTCATTCCATTCCCTTCTGGCCTGATATGTTTCTGTTGAAAAATCAGTTGATAGTCTGATGGGAGATCCCTTGTAGGTAACTTTCTGTGTCTCTCTGGCAGCCTTTAAGATTCTTACTTTGTCATTGGTGTTTGCCAATTTAATTATAATGTGTCTTGGTGTCAGTCATATGGGTTCATCTCTGTGAGCTTCTTAGACTTGTGTGAGTTTTTCTTCCCGATATCAGGGAAGTTTTCTGTCATTATTTCTTCAAACAGGTTTCTAATCATTGCTCAGTTTCCTCTCCATTTGATACCCCTTTTATGCAGATGTTGTTTCATTTCATGTTGTTTCAAAGTTCCCTTAGGCTCTCCTCTTGGTTTTTATGTGTGTTTTTTTCCAGTTGCTCTGCTTGGGTATTTTTTCCTATCTTGTCTTCTAGCTCACTGATGCTGTCCTCTGCTTCTTCAAGTCTACTGTTGATGCTTTCTATTGTGTTCTTTATTGCAGCGATGTCATTCTTCATTTCTTTTTGGTTCTTCTTCATTTTCTCTTGATTCTTACACATATTGTTGAATTTGTCTTCCATCCTTTTCAGTGTCCTCATGACCATTGCTCTGAATTCTCTCTCTGACAAATTGCTTGCCTCCATTTCATTTACTTCCTTTCCTGGTGATTCCTCCTTTACTTTTGTACAGGGACTGTATCTTTGTCTCCCCATGTTCGCTCCTCTCAGGGTGTCTGGTTATGTAGTTCTCTCTATCCTGCATTGACTTTAAGGCACAAAATACAAGACGACAAGACACAACACACAGGGCACCAAACACAAATGGATTCACAATACCAATAAAGGTGAACATCAGAGAAACGAGAATTAGGGGAGAGAAAAGAGGGCAAAAATGATATTGAGAAAAGAAAAAATGTAAGAGAGAAAAGAAAGAGAAGAAAAAAGAAGGGGGGGGGGAATATATGTATATGGGGAGAAAACTCCAAAACACCAACAACTAATCCAAAAAATGCTAACAACAAACACCCAGAGAAGAATGTGAACAACAAATAACAACTTATCCAAAAAATACAAACAAACACCCAAACAATAAACACCCAAACAACAGACACGCAAACAGCAAACATCCAGATGAATCTGAGGAGGCTGAGCTTCTTTCTCTGTCTAGGTCTGTGGTCAGCAAACTGCGGCTCCCAAGCCACATGCGGCTCTTTGGCCCCTTGAGTGTGGCTCTTCCACAAAATACCAACTTCTGCACATGGGCCACGAAGTTTCAATCGCACTGTACATGCGTGCCCACATGTGGTATTTTGTGGAAGAGCCACACTCAAGGCTCCAAAGAGCCGCATGTGGCTCGCAAGCCGCAGTTTGCCAACCACTGGTCTAGGTGATCTCTGACCTTTCTGTCCACAGATTGTCTCACTAGCTGTGTTTAATTCTTCAATTCCGGGTGGGTGTTATTCAATGTAGCTGTTCCTTCCATCTGCTCTGTGAGAAGGTGCAGGACCCATCCATATATTTGGCCGCCATCTTGTCTCCCCCTGGACAAACTTTTTAGGTGCCCGTGGCCAGGGAGACTGGAGTCCTGGTGCTCGTGGGTTCACAGCTGAAGCAGCTGGTCCCGGGGCGCTGTGGTTGTAGGGTCCTGGGAGGTATCTGAGGTCTCCCCGGTTGAAAGTAAGGCTGGGCTTCTGATCACAGCTACTCTCCCCTTCAAGATGATGCGGCCTCTGCCAGATGGCCAGCCACTCTGGGCGAAATTTCAGCAGCAGTAGAGGCTGCCTGGCCAAGGAAGCCTGGTCCGCATGTCCCCGACAGTCCTGTGGAATATGAATTGTGCCTCACTCACAAATATAGACACTTCCCGCACATCCATGCACTCTCCTTTCGCTCTCTCACTCACTCTCTATCTTGCAGCCTGCTCTCCCACTGGCTGCCACCTTGGATTTCAAAGATGTTTATGTTTTTATTTATTTTTTTATTTTTAAAATATATTTTATTGATTTTCTACAGAGAGGAAGGGAGAGGGATAGAGAGCTAGAAACATTGATAAGAGAGAAACATCGATCAGCTGCCTCCTGCACACCCCCTACTGGGGATGTGCCCGCAACCAAGGTACATGCCCTTGACCGGAATCAAACCTGGGACCTTTCAGTCCACAGGCCGACGCTCTATCCACTGAGCCAAACCGGTTAGGGCAAAGATGTTTATGTTTTTAAAATGAATAAACTCTCACATGGCACTGATGTCATGTCAGAGACTTTAAAGCATTAATTTAATGCTCTGCCCATCAGGACCCTGAGAACAGAAGGCCTAAGTCATTGCTTCAAGGTCACAGAGCTGTTCAGGCAGAAGACCCAGAATGTGACCCCAGGCTCTCCAGTCAAAGGTCACCTTCTGAGTCAGCAGGTTAAGCCGCTGATGAGACACTGATAAATGGGAGAGGGGGAGTGGAGAGGAGACTGCAATGACTGTATGGACATTATTCTCTATTTCCATGTGAGAGCCAGACATTAGGACACTAATATATGTGACGGGAAGTGTTCTGGGAACTTTGGGAAGAGAATTGTCATTGCCCCTCTTGACCCTTCGGGCCAACGGCTGAGGCTTTCCTTCCCCAGCCCCCTTCTTCTCCAGCACGAAGCCCTGGCAAGTGGCCTTTGGGGTGACCCTTGTGGCTCTGCTGGGGCTTCTGGCTGGGTTGGTGATGTCATGGTGGCAACAGCAGAAGAGAGTCTTGGCCTTGACCCAGGAGAAGGAGAGGGAGCGAGCTGAGAAAGAAGCAGCATGGATGAAGGAGCAGCTGGAGCAAAGTGCCAAAGGTGAGACCTGGCTTCAGGTGGGTGGGACCTCTGCGCCCCAGGCCGCCCCCCACTGCACATGTCTCCCCTTCCATCCCCATGACAGCACCTTCTCTTTCTGTTTATTTCCAGAGAAACTGCAGGAGGAGCTCAGTAAGTCTCGATCCCCCACCGGGAGAGTTCTGGGGTCCCTGGTTACCCGCCACACCGACCCCTCCCTTTTCCCCTGCAGGGTGGACAAAGAAGCAGAACATGGCGCGTGAGTACCTGGACCTAGACCTGGACCTGCCTCTGAGACTCACTGCTGCAATCTGTCCAGCCCCTTCCTCACCCCTGACCTCCCAGGGGAAGGAATGAGAAGGCTGATGGGGGAGGTCGGGCAGGGTTTCCTCCCTGGAGAAAGGGGTCAGGCTCTCTCCACCAGGCTGCTCACACCCACATGTCCAGGGAACCCCAGAAAGGAGAGGGGGAGGTGGATTCATGATGTGAGTCCTCCCTCCCTGGCTCCTGTACAGAATCTACAGGCTGCTGAGAGGAAACCAGAAGGAGAGAGAACATTCTTTTCAAAAGAGGAGGGGCTGGTATCAGCTGTCCCAGATTTGTCATAACTGCTGAAAAGTAGTGTCTGAAATTTTCTCCTTCAGTCACCCAATTCTTTGTGGAAAATGGCAGGAAATCATGGAGATTGAGATCGATGGATTTCAGCAAACATATGTATAAACGTATGCACACGGCAAGCCTAGCCATGTACAGGAGTAAGACAGTCACCTCATATGCCAGGGGCATGGGATCCATGACCAGTGGGTGCCTGGCCCACGGATAGCACCACACCCTGTGTATAGGAGGTTTCTCCTTCTCACTTAAAGGAAGGCTTCTCATTGCCACACCCCAATGGCCAACGTCACTGCAATTGATGGGTCATTGTTAATAACATCAGGGGGACTTTCACACAAGCCCTGTGATGCTGAGGCAGATCTGACCACAGAGCCGGCTCCTCAGTGACTAAGTGACTCATGGGAGAAACACAGGGTGGACATGCTGGGCACAGGG